TAATTATAGCTCAAATCCTGTTACAGTGAACTCCAGTAGACTTCCAAGATGCCTTTTTTCTGTATTTCTCTTTTGTCACACTGGAATTCAGCCATTACCAATATTACATTAAGCGAGCAGGCCATTGACCACAGTGTGGGAGACCCTTTGCAGTGGCCAGGTTTTTGTTACATTGACATGGTAATATGATTTGAACTTTCTCCATTCTAAAGAAATCATGAATTAGTCAGAAGCAACTTTCCTTTCTTTGCATAGTTCTTATGTAATCTTTTTATAGCATATTCAGGGGTTTGAACAATTAACATCCAGAATTAAAATCTGAAGACTACTTTCTTCTTTTTAAAAGAGTTTTATTGTATTTTATATTTTTGGTTTGGCAGTTCTGGGTTGCTACTTTCTCTATTATCTACTCCATAACAAAACCAGATGACTGGCTCCTGTGTTGGGAGTTCTGAGGACTCTTCACTGTGCTTTCCTTCCATTTTCCAGCTGTCTTTAGGTATGTTTGGTATATGATATTGAGGGACTTGAAGCATACTTAGCATGGTGGTTTAAGTGAATTCTCCCGTTGGTGGAATTGTCTGGGAAGGACCAGGAGTTACAGCCTTCTGAAGGATGAAAGAGACTTTCTTAGAGAAAGCCTTGGCTTTATTGCTGCTCATGCCGATTTTTATTGTTCTTAAGATCTAAAACTCAGTAGAGGTTTCCATCTGTCCCCTTTGGAGATTCCAGCATGACTTGTGCAGTTGCCCAGTGTTCTGAAAAAGCTTGCCCTTCCCCATTTTGATTCATTAAGAACCTATGTGGGATGGTAGCATTTTCTGGAGAGAAAGTAGGCAGAAGCCTGATACTGCTCTGACTGCTGTGCCCGACGCTGCTGTGCTTGCTGCCACAAGTAGTGTCTTGTCAGTCATCCCTGCCTCTGTAGGTCTCGGCTTTCCCCAGCACAGTGGAGATTTTATTCTACAACTAAATCTTGGGTTTCTAGGTGGATTTTGGAATAATGACATTTTAAAAGATTGGAAGTTTCTTTTCATCTGTAAATAAAAACCTATACAGGTTTAGTATTGGCTCAACTTTCGAGCTACAAGAATCAAGTGGCAGATTTAGCCTTTCCTCTGGATGTTTGATTCAGAGATGGAAAGTAGACTTTATTTCTTAGAAAAAAAAGCAAAAGCAGTGCTCCTTGTAAGGTGGAAACTGACTTATTTTGAAATTTTAACTCAAAATTGCCATTTTCCTTGAGTCAGTTATGACATGGGCCTTTGTTTTAAATGAAGTGAAGTGTGAGGTTGGTTTATATACTCATTACTTTGAAGGTGAAACTTTGATCTGTATTTCAGTAGATGCAAATCTTTGCTCTAAGTTGTTGGCTGCATCTCCCTCCAGCTGGAGGCCCAAGGACACCATAGTGAACCTTTGAGTCCGGCTCCAGGGAGAGTGAATGACAATTGCATGTTCCTCAGGCTTCATATGTAGGCTGGAGCCTGTGACTGGACACTGTTTGGATTCGAAGGGACTGAACATTTGGGTGAAGACAGTTTCCTGAGAGCAGTGGCTAGCATTTTACAACAGTTGCTTCTGGTGTCTTGACAGAGGACCCTGAGCTAGTCTTCCGTCTTTTTCTTGTCTACGTGTTGTATTAAAACTTGAGGTGATGAGACATGTCCACAGTTACCGATGCTGAGGAACTAAATGCCCGAAGATGCTGGCGCGAGAATGTTTGGCGGAGGTAGTTACAGAGCACCAGCTCCGCCGAGGTTGCCGTCGGGGTGCAGAGCCCAGCCCGGCACCTGACAGCTGTATGGCCGTAGACAAGTTATTTCAGCTGTCTCCTCTCGTTTTGTTTCTTTTTAAGATGAGAACAGAACAATGCCTACCTAAGGATTGTGTTTGTTCACACGTGTGGAGGGCTCAGGAGAGTGCTCATAAAGATCTGTGTTCATGTGTGAGGGACTCAGGTGAATTCCAGCAACATAAATGTGTGTTCACATACATGAGGGGCTCAGGAGAGTGCCCACATAGATCTGAGTTCACACATGCGAGGGGCTCAGGAGAATTCCAGCAACGTAGATGTGTGTTCCTATACATGAGGGGCTCTGGAGAGTGCCACATAGATCTGTGTTCACACATGTGAGGGCTTAGGATAGTACCCAGAGAGTGCTCTGGGTGTGCGATCCTGTTTATCATCCCTGGAAGGTGTCCTGGCCTCAGCTCTCAGCTGCTCCTGAGTACCTCCAGCGCCCAGGTTTTCTTGAGGATGCTGCGGGTGGCAGCTCTTTGGGAGCTGCCCTAGGATCTGCAAGTCTCCCGCCTTGCCACCCTGTTTTGATCTCTTCCTTGCTGGAGCCATTTGCTCAGTGGTAGCTCTCACCTGCTGTGCTCTGTGCTCCCCTTCCATCAGCCCCTTTCCACCAAGTCCCCGACTTGATTTAGGGTGTGTCTGTTAAAAGTGGACAGATAACTGAGTGTTGTACCCTTGCTATTCCAGAGCTGTGATGCTACTTGCTAGGAGGAAAAGGTGAAGAAATGTAGCTCAAGTTTAAGTTCAAGCCCTAAATCAAAGGTGATGAAAACTCAAGCCACAAAACTTGGAGTTTGGACAAACTCTGCTTCTGGGTCTGAGACCACTCCTGAGTAGCATTCCTAGTTACAGAAATGAAGGCCTGACAAGGATCCAGAGGCATGCCTGTGGCTTGTGAGCAGGGCTTCAGGGCCTGCTCTCTCCCCTGTAGCAGCCCCCTGGCCTCTACCCACTAGATGCCAGTAATGCTGCTCACTGCGTGTGGAAACCCAGATATTCTGGGTGGCTGGAAGAGCCCCGGAGGAACTGTCCTTGAGCTGGAAGTGGCTGCTATGAAGACATAGGAAGCGACAGTTACAATAGAGTAGCTTCGTGTGTTCGCGGCTGTGACTATTTCTAGTGCTGCTTTAACCTTCACCTCCTTTCTGACATAACTGCAGCACACAGGGATGTTGTGGTTGACAGTAGAACAGGCAGGTGGTGCCGTCTCTCGAGACTGTAATGGATGCCTGCTATCACGGCAGCCACTCACCAGTGGGCAAACATGGTGCATTCGTTACCTGTTTGTGGTGTCCCTGGTGTCAGGAAACCCCTGTATTAGTCAGTTTTAAGTTACAGAAATGAGATGCTTGACACATAAACTCAACAAAGAGGAAAAGTTAATTTTGACTCACAGTTTTGGTCCATGGTTGATTGGTCCCTTTGCTCTGGGGCCTGTGGTGAGGTAGACTTTCATGGTAGGCTGCACACAGTGAGTGAGCCACTGCCTAATGGCATCCCAGAGCGAAAGAGATTAGAAGGAGCTGGGTCGACCCAGTGGCCTGAGGCTCCCTGATTGCACTGCTTGGAAGGACGGTGAGGGTGAGTTGTTTGTATGTGTGTGGCCTGTTACACCTCATCCTTTGGGAGGTGTTTGCTCGTTTCGTTAGCCCTTTTATTGATTAGGCTTGATTTCTTGTTTGAGTTTTTTGAGTTCTTTGTATAGATGTTTATTCTGCATCAAATGTGTAGCTGGCAAAGATTTTCTCCCCTTCTTCAGACTGTGTCTTCATGTGGTTGTCTATCCTTTGCTCTGTAAAAACCTTTTAATTTCATGATGTACCAGTTGTCAATTTTTGACACTGTTTTTCTTCTTTTCTTTTTTGTTGGTTCTTTGTGAATTTCACATCACTCACCCCAATCCCACTCATCTCTCCCTTCCTTCATACCCTCCCTTCACCCTTGCAACTTTCCCCTAACAGAGAGAAAAAAACCCTCACTGTGGAAGCTGGTCAGCCTACTGCCTTTCCCGTTCTCATGCCCACCGGGTGGCTCACCAGCAACTCTGCAACCAGGGCTGGCTCTACCCTGCTGCCCAGGTAAGGTGCAGGGCCCACTCTCCTGAGTGTTACAGTGGTTGAAGGACATGGCCAGTTCTTTTAGTCATGACTCCAGGGCTAGCTCTCCCACCTGCTGCTGTTGGCAATATCCCTCACGCACAGCACCACACAGCAGGGCCAGCTCTTCTGTGCTCATGCCCTCGGGCCAGTTCTAGCTGTGCTGTCCAGGCGAGGTGCAGGGCCTGCTCTCCCGCTCTCATGACACCAGCTCTCTTGCCTGCTGCTGGTGGCAAGGAGCAAGGGTGGAGGAGGGTATCTCTCTCTCGGCCATACCAGCACACAGGGATGAGTGGTAGGAGCAGTTCTCCCACGCTCACCCAAAACTCCCACAATATGTGGGGCCTGCTCTCTGGAGTACTGCGGCCGGCCAGGGGTGGGGTCAGCTCTCTTGCTCTTAAGCCTTCAGGGCCAGCTCCCTCACAATGCCCAGGTGAGGGACCATTCTGCACAGCCCTTAGATGTAACATGTCCCAGGGCAGCAGCCCAGACCAGTCTGCCTGGCTTGTGGTGTTAACAAGATCCCTGCAGAGCCGTGTCCCCAGATGTGGCCCCCGGTGGCAGCGCAGGCCAGGACACATCATGATGTCAGGTGGCAGCACCAGCTACTCGTCAGGCTGCTCCTCTTTACCCTCCAGTCTTCAGTTTTGCCTCTCTTCATTGTGCCCGAATCCTTCGGTTTCTCTTTCTCTTCCATTTCTCCATCACTTCCTTGCTCCTCTTAGTGGCTCTTGGGGTCTCAAAGAGTGCCTGGAGGCCTCTCAGGAGTGGTCCTAGGAGTGATATGCCCGCTTGTGCATTATGGTGCCAGGCAAGGGTCATCTCAGGCATGTTCTGCCATCCCCTCGCCCCCAGACCTTGCTACACTGGACTGGTGGTCATTTTAGGCTAAGCTTCCTGTTCAGGCCCCATGGCTCCGGTCTGGTCATTGTCTTGGGCTCAGTCCTTACCCTGCCCACCCAACTGGCCCCTTAAAAGGGTTGTCTGTCTCAGGCTCACTCCTGCCCAGCTGGTCTCTGGTCCCAGCTGGGTTCTTCTAGTCTCAGGTTAGCCCCCTGCTTGGGAGCCTGTCTGGGCCTCCCTGGTACGGGGCAGATGGTTATCTCAGCTCACTTTTTTTTTGCTGTTCATCAAAACAGTGAGCATAGACATTGCCTCTCTCCTCTCTGATACCTACTGACACACGTGTGACACAGCAGCCACACCTGCAATGCCTCTAGAGGCAGGCAACATCATCTTATAATGACTAGTCTTGTTCCAAAGGTGCTGTCTATGTCTGTGGCCATAACTTTTTTTTTTTTTTTTTTTGAGATTGGTTCTCTCATAGCCCAGGCTGCCTCTAATTCACCATGTAGCCAAGAATGACCTTGAACTTCTGATATTCCTGTCTCTATCTCCTGAGTGCTGGGATTGTGAGTGTGGGCCACTGGGCTCAGTTTTATTATCCTGATATCTTGAAAAATTTCTCTGTGAAAAATTTGTCAGTGTTAGAGTCTCCAGTCTTACATTAAGGTCTTTGCTCCATTTGGGGTTTATTCTTATAAAGCTAAAAGACAGGATCTGGTTTCGTTTGTCTACATGTGGACATTCGGTTTTGCTAATGCCGTTTGTTGAAGAGGTAGTCTTTTCTTCAATGTGAATTTTTGGCATCTTTGTAAGAATCAGGTAATTGAAACTCTGTTTATATCTGGGTGCTTTTTTTCTGTTCCATTAACATATGTGTCCATTTCTTTGCCAGTACCATGCTGTTTTTATTACCATGTCTGTAGTATAACTTCAGGGCTTGGATGGTGGTACCTCCAACATTGTTCTTCTTGCTCGGGATTGCTTTGGCAACCCAGGATATTTTGTACTTTTGATGTTTTTATTCTATTTCTATGGAACACGATTTTCAAATTTTATAGGGTATTTTACTGAATTCATAGAATGTTTTCAATAAAATAGTCACATTCAAAATGTTATTCTCCAATCCATGAACACAAGAGATCTTTCCGTCCTCTAGTAACCTTGATTTTTTTCCTTCAGTGCTGTGTGTGTGTGTGTGTGTGTGTGTGTGTGTGTGTGTGTGTGAATGCTTGGTCCACAGGGAGTAGCACTATTAGGAGGTGTGGCCTTGTTGGAGGAAGTGTGTCACTGTGGAGGCAGGCTTTGAGGTCTCTATGCTCAAGCTACGCTCAGTGGGGCACACAGTCCCCTTCTCTGCCTGCAGATCAAGGTATAGAACTCTCAGCTCCTTCTTCAGAACCATGTCTGCCTTCTGCCATGTTTCCTGCTATGATGACAATGGACTAAACTTCTGAAACTGTAAGCCAGCCCCAATTACATGTTTTCTTTATAAGAGTTGCTGTGGTCATGGTGTCTCTTCACAGCAATGGAACCCTAACTTAAGACAGATACCCTCTTCATTTCCTGTTTGTATTTTCCCCTCATCTTCTTGGAAAGTAGACACTGTTTTGTTTCAATTTTAGTGGAAATCTTTGAACTTTTTTTCTACTTAGTATAATGTTGGCTATAATTTTGTCATATACGATTATTATGTTGCGATATCGTCCTTACATTCTTAGTTTCTTTAGGACTTTTATCATGAAGGAATGGATTTTTACCATAAGCCTTTTGTGCATCTGTCTATCTGCTTGTGTGCCTGCACGCCAGAAGAGGGCACCAGATCTCAACTATAGATGGTTAGGAGCCGCCATGTGGTTGCTGGGAATTGAACTCAGGACTTTTGAAAGAGCAGCCAGTGCTCTTAACCTCTGAGCCATCTTTCCAGCCCCAGAGAAGGATCTTGGGTGTCCTGTTCTACCACTACCTTACTTCTTGGAGACAGGGTCTCTCTCCCGAACTGGAGGTAGGCTGGCAGCATGCAAGCCGCCCAACCCCAGCAATCCCCAGGTTTCCACGCCCCACAGACACACACGTGGCCACACCCTGCTGTTCTGTGAGTGCTGGGCTTTGAACTCATTTCCTTCTGCTTTTACAGCAGCAATGAGTCCCTTTTTAGTTCCTGATGGTGCAGTCTTTGAGAATAGCAGCTGTTCTGGGCTCTTACAGGCCTGACTCAGGGACTAAATAAAGTGCTGGAAGGTCAGCATTCACCAAGTGTCCTGAGATAGTGGCTCTCAAATTCTTGGCCTCACGTTGAAGAATAAAAGAATGGATGGAGGGCTGGAAAGATGACTCAAGGGTTAAGATCACGGCTGTTCTTCTAGAGGACCCAGGTTCAATTCTCAGTACCATATGGTGGCAAGCAACCATATAGTGCCCTCTTCCTGCCTCTGAGCGCACTGCACACAGATGGTGCACACCCATACATGCAGGCCAGACACCCATTCACATAAAAATAAAAAAAAGACATGGACGAAAGAGCGTGAGCAACTGAAAGCAAGCTTATTAAGCAAAGGACAGGAAGGACTAAGGTCCCTGTAGTTGGGGGGATCCTGAAAGCATTGCTGTGGGGTGTCTTGTTTAGAAACTTATAAGATTCATGGTGAAGACTAGACAAAGGCTGAATTTTAATAAAATTGGTTATTTTACATGGGTTTTTTGTGATCTGAGCCAGTGGGGGCAGGGTACTGCACAATATTGGGATATTCTCTTGACACACCTAAGGAGATGATTATATACTGCTTTGCCAGATTAGAGGCTAGTCATGTTTTGAAGTGCTTCTAACCCATTTTTCATTTATGTTGTTAGATGCTGACCTTGGGCTGGCCATTTATTATTTTATTTGTTTATGCTGGCCAACCACCCTTGCTGGTGTGAATGACTTCCCACTTTAGCTTCTTTTTGTGGCTGTTAACTAAACTGAGCTTTTGTCTATCTCTGATCTCTTTGTTCTCTAGTTATGTTCAGCTTACAGTTTACCATGGGCCCTCACCCATATCCATTGGGAGCTAACTTCTGCCTCACTGATTTGAGATTATTTCATATCTCTGAAATGAAGCCATCTTGACCTTGGAGAATGATCTTTCTTATGTGTTCTTGAATTCTGTCTGAGTGATTTTGGATCTATGTTTATCAGAGAGAATGGAATATAGTTTTCTTGTGATGTTTTATCTGCTGTTGGTTTCAGAGTAATACTGTTTTTCAAAATTTTCTACTCAGTGGAATACTTTGAGAAGCATTAGTCTAAGTTCTTTAACTGTCTGGTAGAATTCAACAGTAAATCTACTGTGTCTGGATTTTTTTTTTTTCCAGTTGAGAGGCTTTTGTTTGTTTTTTATTGTTGCTTCAGTCTTGCCTGTTAAAGGTCTTTTAAGTTGTTTATCATATCTTGGTTTACTTTGAAGGGTCTTATGAGCCTAGAAATTTACCCATTTCTTTCAGATTTTCTAGTTTGGTGGAATATGTTTTACAAGTATGTCATAATGATTTTCTGAATTTTTGTGGTACCTTGTCAGTTCACTTGCTATTGTTTTTTTTTTTTTAATTTTACTCCATTGTCAACTAGCATGCAAGAAGTTTTGTTAGAAATCAATACTCTGTATTTGTTATGAGCTGTTTTATTTTCTGTTATATAATGTCTTCTAGAGAAAAGTTTTCTGGGCTGCAGAGAAGAACTGTGTATTCTGCAGTGTTTGTGTGGAATCTTCTATAGATGTCAGGTTCGCTTGATCTACGGTTACTTACTAGAGAGATTTCTGGCATTTTTGTTGGGATGCTCTGTTTATTGGTGTGAGTGGATGTGAAGTCTTTGGTGTCGAGGTAGATCTGTGTCTTCACTTCTGCTAGTGCTGCTCCATGAAGCTGGATGCACCTTAGTTTGGCACTTACATGGTCAGATATGTAATGTCCTCCTGATGGGTTGATGGGACAGTCTTTACCTTATCTGACTAATTTTGTTTGAACTTTTATTTTACTGGATAGCAGAATAGTAACTCCTACTTGTTTTCTAGTTCCGTTTGCTTATAATGCCTTTTCCATCCTTTCACTCTTAAGATTCTTTTGTTCTTTTTTTAATGATAAGGTATATTTCTTTAAGGTAACAAATAAATGGATCTTATTTTATAATCCAATCTGCTAGTCTGGCTCTTTCTTTCTTCATCTATCTATATGATATATCTATCTATCCATCCATCTTTTGTTTTGTTTTGTTTGTTTGTTTGTTTGTTTTAGCCCTGGCTGTCCTGGAACTCACTCTGTAGACCAGGCTGGCCTCAAACACAGAGACTGTCCTGCCTCTGCCTCCCAAGTGCTGGGATTAAAGGTGTGGGCCAGCTTGGGTCTTTTAATTTTAATTGGGGAATTTAGTCCTTTAATATTCAAAGTTGTTATAGGAAGGTATGTGTTAACTCCTGTCATTTTTGTAGTGTTTTGTGTCTTCCAGTTTTTATTCTCTACTCCTGCATTGTTTGTTCTTTCCTGAAGCCTCATGGGAAGCTTGAGGTTTCTTCAAAGATCTTTTGTAAAGCTGGTTAACTGGTCATAATACCTTCAGCTTGATTTTATCATGAAAGGTCTTTTCTCTTTAATCAGGACAGATAGTTTTGCTAGGTACAGCAATCTCCATTGGCAATTACTGTGTTTCAGTGCTTAGAAATGCACCATTCTGTGTTTTTCTGGTTTTTAAGCTTCCTGTTGAGGAATGTGCTATATTTGTATGGGTTTGCCTTTATATGTAACTTGACACGTTTCTCTTGCAGGTTTCAGTACATTTTCTTTGTTTTCTGTGGTGTTTTAACCATAATATGATGTGGTCTTTTCTGTTTGTTCTGAATGCCTCTTGAGTCTGGATGTTCATCTCTTTCTCTAAAGTTAGGATGTTTTACACTGTAACTTTCCTGAACATACTGTTTTTCCTTTTAGGCTGAAGTTCTTCTCTTTCTCCTCTGTGATTCATAAATTTGGTTTTTCATGTTGTCCAGTAGAAATTGCATGCTCTGTTCATATTTTCTTATTTAGTCTTTTTTTTTTTTTTGGTGTCTGAACGCTCTGATTTATCTGTCCTGTTTTCCATCTTGATGGTAAATTTCACGTTCAGACTGTACTGCAGGTGCAGGTGGTATTTCATTGTAGGTTTGGGTGCATTTCCCTGGTAGGCGATATTGAACTATTAATTAATTAATTAACTTGATGCTGGTTGTCTGCTTGTATATTTTTTTGGGAGAGAAATGTCTCTTTAGATCATTTTCTCTTTTACATTTTTTGGGGGTGCTGGGGTGCTGGAGAGAGAGCAGTTAAAAGCACTTGATGCTCTTACAGAAGACCCAGGTTTGATTCATAGCACC